ATCATCATTGAAATAAATCCCTATGGCATGTTTCTTGGTACTCTTTGGCAATCGAGCTACGTTCTTCACGTTGTTGAGTTCTGTCACCTGAAAAATGAACAATGGGAAGTTTGATCTCACTCTCTGAATGAATGCTGCCTGTCAACACCACCAAAGGAGAGGCACAGAAGCAGAAAGGCACATCACAGGTGAGCATGACTTCACGGGAAGTGTCTACATATTTGAAAGTAAAGAATTATTTATGTGAATTCAATGTTATCCTTGATATACAGCAAGGAAGGTTAACATGTTATCTTTCCTTATTTAATTTTCTGAAGCATATTACGTGGCACAGGATTAAAACTTCATAGAGGTAGAAAAAAAAACTCATTTTATTTTTTTTTCTTCTTTTTTCATCCTCCAAAGACTCTGCCTTGTCAATCGTTCTCATGTTCACCTCCATCACAGTGGACAGCCTTCTTTCTAAGCCAATTGCAAAAGCCTCCAAGTACTCCATCTCTTCAGACCACTCTCAGTGCAAGTATGTTAAACACATCAACCCTGAGGAATGGAAGGGAAGGGTGGTCCAATTAATAACTAAGTTATTTCACTCTCTGCCTATCAGAGGTGAGGGTCAGGAATCTCAAAAACGGTGCCCCGCTTGAGGTTCAAGTCATACACTCCAACAGACAGTCCATAACGAATGTGGTTTCCCAAATATTTTCCCACTCCGACTCCTAGCCTCCCAATGGTAATGGGAACTCTGTTTTAGAGGCTGAGAACTCTGCACAGGACCACCTTCTTCCTGTCACTAGGGAAAGCTGTCTCCATTAGATGATCTCCTGCTTTGTCCTCTCTCCAACAATCTCTTGGCCCCTTTAACACTTTTGTAAACCTCCTCCCTCCTACAGAGAATGTTTCCACAATGGCAACCCTCATTCAATTACGCTAGGATCCTCTGCTGCATTTGAGGAGTGGGGTATTTGGGTCCTGCCTGAGAAAAGGCTTAGGTGGCTTCAGGGTAAGAATTTACAAGATAAATAAGCCTTTCACACTGACAAGTTTAACCTCCCTTATATCTCTTTTGTTCTGTTAGACAAAGGAATCTGCCTCCCATCAATTTTTGCCTGCAATGATGCTACCATTTCTTCCCATCTGTTTCTCTAAATTCAGTAAATGCCTGGCTCAAGAAGTAGGTGGGCAGAGAAATAAAAATCCTCCATGCACACTCTAATCTGATTATTCCATTTTCCTGCTTCTTAACCTCCATTGGCCCTTTTTATAGTATAAGTGCAAATTTCTCAGCATGAAATATCATACCAGTGTGTCGCAAAAGCTGACCCAACCAATCTGCACCAAGGACTCAGTACCAGCGTGGGTACATCTTATTCTTCAACAACACCAAGTTCCTCAAAGTTTACCAGATGAAAGCACTGATTTTTTTCATTTGTTTATTTTTGTGCCACCCCCCAATCCAAGCTATACCACTTTGCTACAGCTGCTTAGTTGTCTCTCCACTTCCATTCTACTCCCCGTTAATTCACTGTGCACACAGCAGACGATCTTTTCAAAACATAAGTCTAATTTTAGCATTTTTATGCATAAAGCAAAAGATTTCAACGACTTCCCATTGCACTTGGGACCAAAGTTCAAATCCATAGAGTGGACATCAAGACCCTCTGTAGTTTTCCCTGTAGTTATTTCACCAGCACTCTCTCTGCACATACCCCACGTTTTCTGTGTCCCAGACATGCTGTACTTTATTCGGTTTCCAGAAGGCACCATGATTTTCCTGGCACAGAGCCTTCTCTACTCTCTCCTTACCTTACTCCCATTCACTCCGCAGGTCTCAGCTTAAATTTCGGTTGCCCACAGAGGCCCTACTGGACACCCTCCACCTCCAGTGTCTCATCAGTCTCATATATCATCTAGTGCTGTATCATCCAATGACATCCTGTGTGTCTTCTCATAGCCCTCCAATGGCTATTTGGGTTATTGGTTTAGAGTCCAGGTTGTCTCAAGAGTGGAAGTTTTATAGGGTAGGACAGTATTTTTTTTTTCTCACCATTGTGAAATACAGAATTTATTAATACAGTCTAATACAGAACCTGCCACACAGTGAAAACAATAAATATATGTGGACTCCATGAACAAAAAGATCAAATGCACCCATCAGTTTACTTGCACGGTGCTTCTGCAAAGTGAATGTCTCTCTACCCTGTCCCTTTTCTCCAGGAAAATTTCACTTTTCCTTCAAGGCCCACTTCCTCTGGGAAACTTGCCCTCACCTCAGTGTGAATT